AAAAATTAGAATTAAATTAAAATTAAGATATAATAAAATAAAATAGAAAATGGAAATTTCAAAACAAAGAAACTATGAGATAACTTACATTTTAAATTAAAAAATTAAATAGGAAATTTTTTAAAAATTTATTTAAATTTTTTTTAAAAAGAGATTGGAAATTTGAAAACAAAGAAATGAAATTAATTCGAATATTTAAATGATTAAACATAATCAAGTAGCGTAAAGGATAAAGATGAGAAGAAAAAAATAAGGAGAATAAGAAGAATGTGGAGTATAAAAAATTTACGAAAATAATTCAGTAATAAATACACAGAACTAAGAAATATTTAATTAACCAAGATATTTAAACGACAAAAATAATTAAATTAATAAAATAATTTAATAATTAAAATAATATCGAAAATAATCTTATTATGTAAATAATTAAACAATATAAATCATTAAATAATAAAAATAAATAACAAAAATAAAATCAATAATAATTTTACATTGAGAACAATTAAATAATGTAAAAAAACAATGAAAAACAAATGGATTGCGATAAATAATTAAATGATGGTGAATTATTAATGGGTAAATAATAATAAATATATAAAAACAATTTTAAAATAACAAAACACTGCACAACAAAATAATGATAACAATAAAATAATAATAACCTGATAAATAATGATAGATAATAAAAATTTAAATAAGAATAATTATATAATAATAAAATAATACATAATAAAATAATGATAAAATAATACATAACAAAATAAAAAGAAAATAAAATAACAATAAAGAATAATAAATAATTACGGAATTAATACTAAATAGTAAAACAACATAATGAATAATAATAAATAACAAAACAATGGAAATAAAAACAATAAACCACAATGTAATGAACAATAATAAATAATAAAATAACAATAAATAACAACCCAATGAAAAATAATAACCAATAAAACGATAATTAATAAAATCATACTAATTATGAATAATTAATATGCAAACAGAACCATTCCAATCAACCAAGAACCAAGGAAACCCAAAGCGAGGCCAAGCAGAATTTCCCCTCCTGGCCCCGCCCGCGCTGCTCGGGGGGTTTGGGGAGGGGGTTTGGGGGTGCCCCATGCCGGGGGGGCCGCGGGAAGCCGGGGGTCTCCATGCCGGGGGGCTGTGTGTCCATATACATGATATATATGTTTATTCCATATATATGATGTATATCCGGCGCCAGGAAGCGCATTCGGGGGCTGGGGGAGGGGCGGCGTGGCTGGGGGGGTTTGGGGGGGTCGGTTTTGGGGGGGGGGCGAACCTTGCAGGCCACCCTATGGGGGCATTTCTTGCCCAGGCCCAGGGGGGGGGAGATCACGCGCAACAAACTGTACATGTCCCGGTAGTGGATGCGCCCGCTGCAAGAGACACACGTTAGTGGGGGGGCGGGACCCCCCCGGCCCCCCAAAACCGGGACAGACCCCTAAAACCGGGACAACCCCCATGGGAACCCCCCCAGACCCCTCTGGGCCGGGGGGGCTGCCCCCTCTGCATGAGACACACGTTAGTGGGGGGGCGGGACCACCCCCAAAAAAAA